GAGGGCAGCTCTGGCTGCTGATAATCTACACTGCTGTACTGGCGCGTATGTGAGCTGATAAGTAAAAAGGGGCTTATTTTTTTTATTCAGTACAATCCTTATCAAGCGAAGTACTTAAAGCTAGTGATATATTAATATATGATGTAGAAATGTGGGGTTTCACACTGAGAAATCATCCCAAAATGAAGAAAAAAAAGAGAATCTTAAAATGGAGATATTTTCATCTTCTCGTCCTCCTTCCAGACATTAGCCAAGTAATCAAACAGCCAATAGAAACAACAATTACAGTGGAAATCATGATACTTAAGAGTCACATAAAAGCTCTAATCACTCTATTACATAGTGTATAAACATACAGAATGATGAACAGAGGAGAGGATGAAAAATACCCGACAGAAACGTAAATGAAAGAGTGTTTGCATCATAGCTGATGGAGACTTATTCTGGATGATTAAGCAGAATAGACAAAGAGGAAAAGTTATTATCTTGTGATCATTTTGAAGATTTACAAGAAAACGTTTCCTTAATAAGAAGACAGGGTGAAAAAAGTGAATACTGCAAACAAATCATAACTCAAATTATACCTAAAAAATGACAAGTTTATCTTCTAAATTACTTGTCTCTGCTCTTATTTCCTCTTTAACCCTAATGAGATAAGCTGCAGATGCCTAGCAACGGCTCTGACAGCTCAACAATGAAAAGGTCGGGGGTGGCGTTCATTTGTTGTGCTAACCTTCACATGCTAATGTGTAGCTGTGTCGCTACGGCTACGAATATCATTGAATCCTCTCACCTGGTTTTCTCCCCTTTCTCTTTTCTTTCTGACACCATTCTGCGTTAGCAACACCCACACCCTCCATCCACTTGCTCTACCAAGAAAAAGTCTCCGAATCAGGCGGTACTTATCCTTAAGCATCGTTTAAACGCCCCTGCTAGTAATCAAATGCTAAAAAGACGCACTGGCTCCTCTGTGTTCTACGGTCTCTTTGGACCAGTTGATTCATTCCCGCAAGGATTTTTCAGCCTGAGTGGGAGAGAAAAAGGGGAGCAACAGGGTGCATCAATTATGTGACAACATGTTTCTTTGAACCATCGGCATCCCTTTCACACAGCTGATTATCTAAACTCTACAGCACCAAACTGAAAAAGAAAAAAAAAAACCAAAAGCAATTGTTAGATAGAGCTGAAAGGTCCATTAGTATTTCTCAAAGGAGAACGTACAAAAGTAGAACTAAAGCTCTGGAAATAAAAAAAAGAAGTGGACACGCGTTTAGCTTTGGAAATAGAAGTCGATTTTAGATAAAGCCAATCTCTTCACATTGCTCAAAGGTGTTTTGACCTCAAAGGAGCAAAGAAGCACAGTTAGGCAGCTAGGAGTGTTCATTCTACTCCTAATGCTGCGATACGTCAGCCAAACAGCTCCGACGGACTGAATGCTTATTCAATCTGGACTCCCCTTGGAGCGCTACATTTCGTAAAACTTAGTTAAAACACCAAAACCTGCACATATATTACCTTAATGTTAGCAATTAATTACACAGTGAATGCCAGAGCACAGTGAGACTCTGTCCACATAAACAAATGAATGCCCTGTTTGGTTTTTTTTATGCACAGAAAGGGTAGAAATTCTGAAAACAAGGGGAAACTCGTCAAGCATTTAATAGCAATGTATCCCAAAGACGTAGATCACCACCATTCTAATTAAATCTGTAATAAAGACACTTTATACAGCCCATACGTTAAACGAAAAATTCTACCTAGCTTGTGAAAAAAAGATAGCTTCTGTAAACTAATCCAAGTTTATTTCATCTAGATTTAACAAACCTTTTAATCACGACTTCATTTTGTTGTTTTACGACCGCAGAAGCCTAAGTGGATTAGTGAACAGCAATATGAGCATCTTCATATGAAGTCCTTGTTTTGTTTCTTGTCTAAAGGTAAAACAATAAGGCGGTAGCGAAACAATTTCCTTTCTACCCTTTTTTTGTATTTTATGATGATTCTTGGTTTTTGCACAGCTGCACCTGTTTGATTAATTTATGCCGTTTGTCCTTTTGCAACATTTTAAAACGTAGAGGTGATAGAGCAGGTTTTTTACAATAAAATACTCAATAATATACAGTCAACAGCCACTTTATCAGGTACACTTTGCTATTGCTTTTTGCTTTCAGATCCATGTTAATTCTTCATGTCAAAGATTCATCAGTGAGTTGGGAAACCTCCCCAGAGGTTCTGGTCCGCAACATGAATTATATCCATGATGTCAGTCTCCCCTTCCTACTCTTGCCAATTGATATGGACTGAATCAGTTGACTGTAGAGGCTGCTGGAGTCCAGCGAACACATAGTCACATTCAAAGAATAGAACTGAATCTAGATTAGTTGATTACTTTAACTCATTCACTGCCATCGACAACTAAAGTCGTCATTTTAGATCCAACCGTTCACTGCAAATGACGACTAAAGTCGTCATTTGCATTTTTTTACTGTCTGAGCATCAGAACGAGCCCCTGCATTGAGAGAACAAACAGCCCTGAAGCCGATCTTCATCCGCATATGTCACATGTCACGTGATCAGGAAGCAGAACATCCATGTGTTAGGAGATCGTTTTGGGCCGTTCCTGTAAAAAAAAAAAGTGAGGCGCGAACCGGAAAATCTTCTGCTGAGCACAATTCAACAAAAGATTTTGAAAGAACGGATAATGCTCGGAACACGTGGATTCTTCCTGATGTAAGAGGTGAGTCTCCTCTTTGTTTTGGTTGTTTAGGCGTCGACATCATGCTAGCGTGCAACGTTCTGTGACTCTTAAAAAAACAGTAAAAACTGTGAGAAACGCTGGCAGCGAAGGCCGTTAGCGATCAGGAAACGGCTGGCAGTGAATGAGATAAAGTGCAAGACACTTAAAGTGCTACTTTACTAACATTTTTAATGCATTTGTATTAGTCACAAAGTAATTAATGCCTTGTAAGCAGTATTGGGAGGATTGGTCAAGGTTGAGTTGAACACAACAGGTTCTGGAGTCTTATTTTCTGATACTTGGGACATCTCACCTCTGACTGGTTAAGATCACGGTGACTATCACTGACTCAGTTTGCTCTGCAATGTTGATGTTTTATCTCTGCTACTAGCAGAGATGATCTCCGCTGTTTCCTGGACGCTAAACCAACAATAGCCTTCTCCGTCATGAGTCAAGATGGGTGAGTCAATGAATGTTAAGTGACAGTGTGACGTAGATCTGTCAGGGTTTTATAATCCTAGAGTTTCACTGTCTCTTTTTTCAGAAGCTAACGCAGGAGATAGGTGTAGGAGACTATTTTCATGTATAGCCTGCATTAAAAACAGAGTGACCGATTCTAATGTGATTTTTCAGTCAAGTACCACTTTAAATCACCTTTCTTCCTCATTCTAATGCCCACTTTGAATTTCAGCAAGTCATCTTTGCCACATCTAGATACCCACATGCATTGAGTTGCTACTGTGTGATGGGCCAATTAGCTAGTTGAACAGGTGTACCTCATAAGGTTGCTGATGTGAGAGAATGTGCATATATGAATATTATGACTGTCCACTATCTTCAGCCTACCATTATTATTGGGCAATATTGGCATTAACATGTAATATGGGAAATGGTCGGTATCTGTATTTACTCTTTGAATGACACAGTTTTTACATACCATGCACATATTATACATAAAACTCCTCCTGTCACTGAAAATGTCCAAATATGACAAATCCGAGGTATATGAGTGGAACTCACATATTTGTGTATTGGGTTATATCAGTATCGGAAATGAAGAGTTAGACTATATCGGTATATCGGATATCGGTATAAAACCTGATATCAAACAGTCCTAATGACAATACATTAAAAAAATCAGACCCATTCATACTATGGAATATTTACACTAATTACTTCAGGTATAAAACTGATCAGTCCTAAAGCCTGGTCACCAAGACTTACTGTATGTTATATATTGTAGGCAAGTCATTGTCCCATGCCTCTAGATATAGTGGCTGTCCCAGGCTGAGCTATTGAAGCGCCATCTACATGTTGGGTTAAATTAGATTATTTTTCCCTAACTTAATCCTCTTTGTCTGAAACTAAAATATGGGTTTCATTTTCCTTTGCACTTCTTATCTCAACAGCTTTAGCAAGCACTTAAAATATTCATAAGACATAACAAGGGCAAATTTCTAATTCAGGATGAAATATTTTAAATAGTTCCCATATTTTTGGAAGCCATTAACCCTTTGACACATAATGGTCACTACAGTGGACAGGTACTCAAAATTTTTATTTATTTGTTTTTGCTATTAAGCACAGCTATTGAAGACTATTGCATTTCAGCCTCTCCATTTGGACTTTGTCATGAACTCTTCCTCCTCCTGACCTCCTCTGGGGGCTGGGCTGACGGGGCACTCCATTTCCCAGCATTCCCGTCACCGACACTCTCGGTGACATCACCACGCGGAAGCTATATAAGGAACTGTCACCACTGAGCTGTCATTCAGTCATCATCTTATGACAGACGCCAAACCGAACCGATCCAAATCTAACCCAAAACCAATCCAGGAAAGTGATCTTTCCACACTGTCTAACCACCACGACAGCACCCTACCAAACGGAACCGCAGTACAGCCTCATTATCTCATGTGCGCCGTACTGCCGTCCTTAGAGCAAGCTGCGTGTTCTGTTCGGACCAAATGCCAGTCTCTCCGCACAGCCACGCTACATTACCTCCGCTACACTCCAGTTCAGCTCACCGAACCTGACAGGCTTCAGTACGTCAAGCAAACATATTTCATGTTCAGAATGCACGCTGTCCACTGAGATGGACATGTAATAAACTATGTGTAAATTAAATGTTACAAAAAATATGTAAATATGAAATTGGTTTCATTCACACCTAAATATGAATGAAAAAAATGTTTAAAAAATCATGGTTGAAGATTTCATGATTCATGCATCAAAGGGTTAATGCCTTTATATATGTGGTTACCTTTGAGACATGATCTTGTACGCATCTGGTAGATAACACCGCGTGTTTTCCATCTGGGCCGGGTCAGCGTCGCAGATCTTGTCATCTGTGCGGCCGTAGTTGGCGCTCTCAATCATGATGACGTCTGTGCCCGGGCATCGAAGCTCGATGGGATAGCTCTCACAGGACAGCTCCCTCCTCACCACTGCCATGGGGATGGGTGCTCTGCTGAAAGCTGCAGAAATTAAACAAGAATAAAAAAAAACTAAGTATGAAGTTATCTGATGTGTTTTTATTCCATGGAGAGTAAAGACATACAAGAAATCTGCTATAGGGACTTTAGAATGTGTATTTTATATTTAAAAAAGAAACAAATAAATAAAAGTAAAGTGGTCTTAAACATAAGCTTTGGTGGTTCTCCACCCCTGTCTTGAGAGTGTGGGCTGATGAGCATCCAGTTATTAGAGTGGGAGGACGAGCAGAACCACAGAAGGGTGGAAGTTGAGGAAGATTCGACCATGACACTGACACAGATAAAACTCGAGAAAGTAGAGCATCTATTTTAACTGTAAAATGTTTGGAAAATTAGAAACAGAAAAAACATGTATTCTAAAAAAAATGATTAGCTACAGCTTCTTTCAAAATCAACTTTATTCCAAAAACTTCATTTCACTTTAGAGTAACTTTATTTGGACTGCATGTAGCCAGGACATGGCCGGTCGAAGGGTGCCTTTGGCCCCAAAACAAACACGAGAGTCAATTTGTCAAAAAATATATACTTTTAAAAATCTCCCCATTTGCTGCAAAGTAAAAAATGTCTGTGAGGACTTCTGGATAGAGCTCCAGCCAAGTATGGGTCACTGTTTCAGCAGTTCCTATGAGACGCAAGAGCACACATGCATGCCCACGGATGTCAGCAGGCTCAAACTGGCACACGAAGGAGCATGTGCACGACCAACTGGAGAAAGTGTGTTTACAGACAGCAAAAAAAAGTGAGCGAGGAGGAGTAAACGTTGGGCTTGGAGATAGATAAAGAGTTTACAGATGTACAAACTGACAAAGAGAGAAACAGAAAAAGAAAGTAATTCATGTCATCTGAACAAGTTCCATTTGTTTTAGTGAAGTAAAATATCCAGAAAAATGAGATGGAGGAAATCATTTATTCGAATTATTCAAGACAGTAAGAGGACAACGGCCTCTCGAATGTCAAGTACACACTCGTCTTGACTTTGGAAATAAGCACAAAACAACCTCATTACAATGTTAAAGAAGGAGCTCGTATTATCTTGGTCGTTTATATTTTGTTACTGTTCATCAGTTTTACAACCCTCCTGTTGTGTCTGAAAGTGCTATACAAATATGGTATGGCATGGCATGGCATGGCATGGCATGGTATGGTATGGCATGGCATGGTATGGTATGGCATGGCATGGTATGGTATGGAAAGCTATGGTATGGCGTGGTCAGAAGATATTTAATATTTCTTTAGGAAAAAACACATTTTAAAATCCTTCTAATCCACAAGGGACCATCAGAACCTCCTGTCACTAAAAGTTAAGACATTTGTTCAAAACTCAGGAAGGGAAAACATTGTGTGCACTTTCCACCTCAGACATCATATACATAGACACCCCATACTGGTTCTGCCTGTTGGAGCTGGCGTAGCAGCGGGCTGCCATCTTGGAAGGGTTCCCATTCGCCCTCAGTAAATTTATTTCTACTGAGTAAGGTGTTTACCCAAATAAAAAACACATTTCATTGTGCTTTTTCATAGAATCAGATATAAGGTATGGCATGATAGTTAAAATATATATAAAATTAAATAAATTAAAATACAAAGTCCCAATAGTAATCCCACATGATCTGTTTTCAATAGTACGCCAGTTGCTGCAACCGTAGGCTGTGCAAAAACAGGCATCAATGCCCACTCTGTATTGACTCAAGTTGGGTTTGGAGAGTGAGGAACCCACTCAATATGGAGGTGATGCTGTTACTAATGGGGCATCTACATATTCATGTCTATGGTTTCCACAGTGACCTTAAAGCTGCCTTGCGTAGTTTTACATAGAATGCTGCTGAGAGCACAACAAGTGGCTCAGGTTTTACAGAAATAGCTCTGCCGAAGGGGATTGAAAGGAGAGGCCAATGATGGTCTGGGGGTTAGCAGGGGAGCATATTACAGAACCAGGGGAATTTGATGGGTGATCGTATAAAAGTTATTCCAGGAACAGTGAGCTAAAATCGTATTGCTCTCTGAGGTTTTCCCGCTTCCTGTCCTGGTTTTGTGAAAGATGCAAAGTCCTGAAGCTTGATATGTAGCGATGCAGGCTGTCTGTGCTGCACGAGTCTCGGAAGAACCAGGAAGTCATGCTGCCTCACTAATACAGAGATCTAGGCTGGAATGATCAGCCTCCATGGCTGGTTCTGAGAGTCAGAACTCAGCCAGAACCATGAGGAGCGGCCCGGGATGGATGCAGCGAACCAGGCAGGAGTTTATAGCCGGAGTTTTTAGCCTGGAGGCCCACTCCTGGGTGCTTGGTCTCAGTCAGAACCAGAAAGAGGAGCGTCTCCGATAAGAAGCAGAGAACCAGGCATGATTGGCTGGCAGGGCCCATCGTCAAATGTACATAATCAGTTGCTAGGTTAGCTTATCTAGTGGCTAGCTGAAGGAGAACACAGCCTCCTTGTGAATGCGCATATGTCACAAAACACACTCTTACACGTTGGTACCAGCCCTACCCCCTTTCAAAATTAAAAGAATCTGAACCTACATGCACTCACAGACAAAGTACTAGATTCAGTGGTATGGTCAGGAGATGAAAAAAAATGGATACTAGGGGCCTTAGCACACCTCTGTTGTTGCTTCGCTTCCCAGGGCTGGAGGCTAGAAGGGGGATCTGGCCACCTGGCTGGGGTCTGGGGTGATGGGTCGCTTTGCTCGGCGTTGGGTGTGGGAGCCTGCCCATCAGCACCCCAGCAGGAAGGGTCGAACTCTGGGAACCGGTGATGGTTGTACCCCTTTGTGCAGCAGTACCAGGACCAGAGTGAATAGGGTGTGTATGGGGAGCATGAGTGGGTGTCTGGCTTGCATTTTTGTATGTCTTAGGTTGTATATGTATGTGAGAGCACGAGAGAGGGAGTGTGTGACTGTGTTTGTGTATGACTGTATATGTCAGATGGGGCCTTTGACTCCTCCCCTCTCCTGGGACTTTTTTTTTTTTTGATGCTACAAATCTTCGCCTCCTCTCCACTGCCACATTTGGTGTGGAGTGTGGTGCCTTGGTCTGCCTGAGTGTTCGTGGCTCCCGGGTCAGGGGGTTTAAGATTTTTGGTGTCTGCCTGATTATTCTCGGTGGCTGCCTGGTGGGATCTTGGTCCCTGGGCTCTGTTGGGTGCCCGGCAGGGCTGGTCGCCTCTAGGTCCCGAGTCACAGGGTTCCGGGCTCAGCCAACTTGGGGGTGGGAGGCTGCGGGCGGGCCTGTGGGCTTGCCGCTGATATCCCCCGGGACTCTGCCGGCTGCTGGTTGTGGCCCCCCGGGGCGATCCTTTGCGCCTCTTGAGGAGGGCAGGGGCTTTGCTGGTCGCAGTCTCCCATGGGTCCCTGCGCTCGGGGGCAACTTATGGATCTCTGAGACTTGGAGATCCTTCCATCTCCTACACATCTTTGGGGGCAGATCTGTGGCCCCTCACACTCTGGATGCTCCTATAGAGAAACCTTACATATACAAGCGCAGGTACGCACACAGGTGCTCACATGGTGCTCTCATAAGAATGGACTTTGGCACGTTCAACACATGTCTTAAGGCTGTGGGTAGCGCTAAATGCACTGTGATTTATTATCGTTTGATTGTTCAGTAAAACAATGTTGATTTTATATTTCCTCATTACGCCGGGGACACACTGGCCGCGGAAGCGCCGCGAAAATGGGGCCGCCTTCATTCGGCGCCCTTGTTAAGCTATTCTATAGACCACGTGGGCCGCCGAAGCGCCGCGAATCGCCTCGCGCCAGCGCACGCCGGCGCTCCAGCCCGCGCCGTGCACGATCATTTCGGCGTTGGCTCTATTTTTTTCGCGAGCCGCGGGTGAATCGCGTCAATTCTGGCAGGAAGTCAAACGTAGACATAAGAGGCAGGCCGGTAAAGTTAACAAAATAAAGCATTTCAAAACAAAATTCTGCAATAGTCAAATGTGTTCGTAAACAGACACTGCAGAAAAACCACACGAACACGCACACACATATACACACACGTGTGTGACAACGTGAAGGGGGGTGTGGTTTTGGGTGTCTTTTCATCGGAGCAAACAGGACAGAGAGGCAGAAAGTCTGAGGCAAGCAGTTAAGATGGATGACTTTAAATTAATTATGGAAGTTAAGAAACACAAGGAGCTGTACGACCCCCGAAAAGCATGATTATCTATGTACCCATTTCAGAAGAAACTGCTAGGATACAGCTGCAGAATTGGAGCGGGTTCCAAGAGATTCAACTGGCAGAAACAACTCATACCAGGTTCACACACACACACACACACACACACACACACGCGTACAAACACTCAAACGTAGAGGAAAATAGCTGAGAAAAGGCAGAGAGGAAATGGAGGACGCCAAGTGTTTAAAAGAAAAACTACAGCTGAGCCGAGGCGCGCCTCGACTGGGGCGCGTCTGATCTGAACTGAGGAGCGGCAAGCAGCGGCCGAATTTCGTGAGCGATTCGCTTCTCGGCGCTTCCGCGGCGCTTCCGCGGCCGGTGTGTCCCCGGCGTCAGGTCGATACAGTGAATGTTTGCTCCTGTTGTATTGTATGTTGGTTTTCTTTTCTTTTTCTCCTGCAGGTCTAGAAGCAGATTCTTGTTCATCACTGATTGTTTATTTTTTCGCGGAACCCCCCCCACCCCCCACCCCCCCCCCCCCCCCCCCCCCCGCCTTCCTTTTGTCTCTTCCTTTCTCTTTCATCTCTGTCTCCGTGTCTGGTTGAAATTACAAGCATTCAAAAAACAATAACAATAAAGTTTTAAGTATCAGGCATGACATTAAAAGCAGAAGCTTTGATGCTCCACCTGGGAGTAAATCTGTAAGGCTTGTCACCAGCATTCAGACATTAATTCTGTTTGCTTCACAGCCAGACAGGACACGGAAGAAAAAAAAAAAAGAAAAAAAAAGATTAAAAAAATGTGTTTATTTCAACAGAATATTACGTAATGTAGCTTTAAGAATCCACCAGTTGTTACTATGTTT